AACCTCGATTTTCTTCGAGAACGTACCTGTTTGACAATGCTAGAAAAGACTATACTTGAACTTTTAGCTGAAATATGAACTTTTAGCTCAATCATCAGCGATAATCGGAAGACTGACCGAATAAGGCCTTTTGGTATTAAATATCTTACAAACTTTTACAGAGCTTCATTTATTGAAAAGAAAACATGTGTTGAAAAGTTTCATCGTTAATTGTGTTTCCAATGACAATACAATATCCTACTATAATCATACCCGTACATATCTATGAATATGTATGTTGACGTCGCTAGGTCAAGTAATAGAGCCGTTTTTGAATCATTGAGTATTATAATTATTAGGATAGGCACTTCTTGAAGCTACGTTAGTAGTAATTTGTTGAATATGACTACAATTGAACTTAACTACATAACACTATAATGAATATGATGGTTTCTGTTAATATTTTCAACTAGACTAAATGGAAGTTTATTTATCTGAGCAAAGACAAACGAATTGTAGTCTTTTGTTATTACTTCACATAATTTGAGTTTTAATAAGCGTAAATTCCTTTCGTTAAAAATAATTTCGGGTTATTGGAAAACGTTTCCTGTATGACCTTCATCAAAGTAAATAAACAGCAGCAACTGTTGATACCAAACTGTAGTAGATTAACGTTTCGATTTTTAATGCATGACAAACTCGCTAGCAAAAACATATCAATAAATAGTAATTTATGCCCTATTCGGGCTAACGATTGATTGCTGACCGAATGAAAACATTTTTTGATCAAAATTGTAGTGACTGTAAACTGTCAGTCGTGACAATATCAATAATGAACTATAAATCGTAGCTACATCACCAAAAAAAAACAGTAATAGGTACTAATGATACTTTTCTCTTTAATATAATTAAGGGCATTAAAATTTTTGTCTATCGTATCACTTCGATTATGAAAAAGTCATTAAGGCTGCCGCAAGGTGCTTTCGCAATAACACGACTCTACATACTATTGGAATTTTCATCCTTTTAACAGATTATTTTCCCGAAAATAACTATTTTCCAAGCAATTCGCAATTCAACGAACCTATTCCACGTGAGCCAAGCCGTGGGCCAAGCTAGAGTGAATGTGAAAGCATATTTCTGACTCGCTCATTCGTTCGCGTTCAGTGCTAAGCTTAAGCTATGAACATGAACTTTGCAGGGTAGCTTGATATGACGCATCTGAGACGGAATTCTTACAAACTCAGAAGGAGTGTAAACTGCAATTTCAACCTTAAGCAGACAGTGCCATATTATTTAAAATCTCCCATGTACCTATTAAATATTTCATTTTAAAGTTCCTGAAATAAGGCCATTATGGATGTCAAGTCTCATAAGGTAATAAATAACACGATTGATTTCAGCCATGTATACGATAACGCTACATCCGTTAATGAAGACTTATAATAAATACATAATTATAATAGAATAGTTAATTTGTAAGTGGCATAATTATAGTACATAATAATAGGAACCTTATTAAGCTAAGCTACGATAAAAAATCAATCATTTTCCAAACTACGTCATCATAAAAGTGAGTTTCAAAATACTCAAGTAATATATTCCGGTAGCTTTAATAGCAGAAGTAGATTTAAAAGCATTAAAGGTTAGAAGAAGGTTGCTACTCGGTAACAAATACAAGACATTATTTTGAAGTTCATTACAAATACGCTAATTGGATAATATCGAGCATGGTTATAAATTCATTACTAAGAACACAGATAATATAATACTCTAAGAAGGTCATATGATATTAAAAGATGGTAATGACAAGTAAGCATCCAACATACACAGAAAACGTCCAAAAAACCTAATGTAAATCTATTTGAAATACGTTTCAGAGGTCATGAACAATCTTGACTGAGAATATCTGCATTCTGCAGCATCGACGCAAGAACCTTTCGTAAGACACAAATCTACGCCCTAAATTGATGCATTTCTAGTTTCTTCTAAATTCGTATACAAAATTACATCATATCATGACAATATAAAATAACAAATAACACAGTACTCTAATATCAAGGCCATTTATGATGCTGCTAGCGCAAATATGGTCTACGATGGAATGGATGATTGGACGGCCGATATCAGTCACCAGATGAATTATTCTGGGATACTCAAAATGTACAATGCACATGATGCCTCTATCACTAAAAAGCTTTGATTCTCTACGAGCGATTGCCAAATTCGATCACATCTAACTTACCATATGATTTTAAAGAACGCGGTTTATTTTTTAGTCAATTGATCTTTGATTTACGTCGTACACATCGCTGTTGAAAGCACAACCCTTTAGTTAAAAACTTAAATTACTTTAAACTGCTCAACTGTTACAGTCTAATTTAATTTAAGGCCTCATTAATAATTATGTATCGTCTATCTATGTAACGTATTACACGTTTTTTTCCATAAATATTGTACCTAAAATTATAAAATGATTAGTCAAACCGCTCTAATACTGTTTTAATTAATTAATGTACTTGTTTTTAACATAGCATCAACTATTACAGATAATAACTAAATAAATGTCAAAAATACCCGCATATTTTCAATTATAATGAATAAGAAGCATACGTTTAATGCTATTTGAGTATTTAATGTATTAGACTCACTAATATTCATAAATGTTATCGTTTCGATGTTTAACAATTTCAAAATTTAGCATCTAATTTGAGTATCCATGTGTAAATAAATTCAATTATCCCTCACTCCATCTAACTTGACTTAACTACATTAATAGTTTCGAAATTTGATAAGGGCGCAGTCACGGGTAAACTAAGATTTTGCAACGCTATTAGCGTCATTGAAGAATGACACAGATGCATCCGGACTCTAAGGGCGGTGTCGGCTTTACAAGGAATACGAGCTACAGCTTTGTATAGGGGTGTGGAGCTTAAGCACAACTCGTCATGCACCTCATTCACTGATCGAGCCCAGGTGAGAGTTCAGGAATGAAACGTCAAATGATTTGCACTGGTGTGGTGCAGGGCGCGAGCCGTGCGTGATGGCCCAGTCGGAGCGCGGCGCGGCACACACTAGGGCGGGCGGGAGACACGGCAGCGTTACGTCAGCGGCGGGGGCGCGCGCGGGGGGCCCCGCACTGCTGCATCCTCGGGCGCCCAACTTCGCCCGGCTCCGCTCAAAAACGTGACATCTCCGCGCCGACCCCTCCCTCCCTCCTGGACCTCTCCAAGACCGTCACTCACTCGCGGTCATTTGTTGCAGGAGCTCATTACCTGATACGATGGCTGATAACGGCCGTCTATATTGACACACCTAATTATATTATAACGCCGAAACGCTACGTCGCGTGACGACATCCATCAACGGATTACGGCGTCGGAACGAGTTGTGACGTGCGTGTAAACAACGATTTGGTAAAGATTTTACACACACGATAGTAATTTGCACACAGGTCATTAATTCGTAGGCTTAATAACCATGAATGATTAACATACTGGCTTGATTCTTTTGTTTATTTTGTGAGGTTTTAAAATGCCAATAATAATAAATGTAATTATGGGCTTATCCAACACATTAACGGTAGTTTCAGGTTTTCTTCAGTCTCAAAGGATTATCAATAAAAAGTTACACCCTAGTTGAACACTGTTCCAAAGTGACATTTGAAAATGTCACTTTAAAACAGTGTTTAACTAGGGTGTAACTTTTTATTATTATTAGGGTTAGTCTATAAATATAAAATTGACAGCTTCTTTTCTACCGAGAATATTATTTTCTTTTACGTGATTGGCTACATTATGTTTGTATTAATGGACTTACGTTGGAATAATCATAAGTAAATGTCGTACCTATTAGAAAAACGCGGTTTACTTTTACTGTTTATTTTTCTTGAATAATAAAAAAACAAAAATTAAACTCTAAACGAAATACATTCCTCAAGAAATTCGGCATTTAGCAAAGATAGTTTGAAAAATATAATTGCTAGAATTTGTAAAATGTTAATTAACTTAAGAATAAACTCTATTTAACGATATTAAATTATGAGGTAGATGTTTCCAATAGTCTTTCATTTAAAATCTTAATTATAAATAATTACATTAAAACTACATTCTAATTGTAATTGAAAACGCAAAAAACCCGTAATATATTAAAGTTACTGGTAATACACCTTCTATGTGATGATATTCTTTACTATGATTGTCGACAGCTGACAAAGAATGTGTAAACATCTATCTGTTGCGACCTACATACTTAAAGCTCCCTTGAAACATTCCAGCCTGTTATAATGTGGTATAAAGTGATTACATCGATGGGTAGTTTAAACTATACTATAAATTATCTTCTAAAACATTACAGACTCCTCAAACTAAAATGTTAGAACACTTAATGGTGTGACTTCAAACTAAACTAGTGTTATGATTGGACTCGGAAAAAATGCACAAAACAAACGCGTACTTTCTGAAATGCCAGTAGTCTTGATACTTCTCGTAAAAAGCCTTAATTACTACGAGTAATTAAAAGTAAAGGTACATGGCGCTGTAAGCAGGTCTAGTGCAGTGGGATCAAAATGTGCCTGGACGATATTATTATGAAGTTGAAAGTGTTAATTAAATATAAATTCAAATAAATAATTAAGAGGTATCTAGACAACTACAACAGACATTACCAGTTGAATCTATATGTTTGGTTAACTGGCTAATTGGGTGATTAGTAACAATAACAAATATGAAAAAACATTTTGCATAGTGAATATGTTAGTTGCACCCATAAGCTGTACGAATGTTTCTTTTGATAAATTGATTCGCTTGGTAAGCATTCTTACAATGTCTTGACTTAATTATTTCCGTTTAGCATTGTTGTTGGCACTTGAATTCAGAATCCTGAATGCTGTCAAAACAAATTAATTGTCTGTAATTCTTTCTATTTGGTAAATAAATGAAAAAATAATAATAATATTGAACACAAAACTAAGCCAATCTCCCACTAGTTTACACACTTAATAATAAATGTAACTATTGCAAAAGTTATACCACATCTTAAACTTAAAAAAAATTGTTCACGACTGCAGTGCCAATGTCTACTTACGCAATATTAACGAACTTCACAAACCTATGATTAGTACTTTGAGCAAACAAAAGTCTCAATAATGCAGTCATTGTACAGTATTAGTATAACAATAGTAGTTTTGTACTTTAAAATCAGCAACTTAAAAATATTTCTGATTGCTAGGCTCTGATTAAAGGCGGCATTCTTACAACTTTATCTGCTATACTTCAGGACACTATGAGTTTAGCTCTTTGTATTTTATACTTAGTAATTATTATTGCAATAATGTTTGCTTTGGCACGTTTTCATAATTTAACAGTGTGAAAGATTACAATAAAACTATGACATTTAAAACTATATCTATCAAAACATTTCTGTTATTAATAACATTGGCTTATTGTTAGACAGGTAAATTGATATCAGGTTGTAAAAAGTACTTCATTATTTTCTTATTTGTAGTTATTATGATAATAATAGTTATAAGTTTCTCCAATATTCTGGTTCTGAAATAGTATGGTAGAAAATGTAGTAAACTGTAAAATCAAGTTATTTTTACGTATGTATAAATTATTCGAAGTTCATAAAATATTTTCATAGCCATTCTAATACTTCTAAATCTATTTTACGGCTACGATCTAAAATTCTAACATAAAGTTTGTCATAATATTATAATATAGCAACAAATTAATAATAGTGATATAAACACACACTTAACTTTGGGTAAATACAATATAAAGTAAATCAATTAAGATATTGACACTCGAACACATAAAATTTGTACTTACGTTACATTTGCAAACTTAGGTAATAAAGATTCTATCAATAAAAATATGTATAATTTTTGTACTACATTATGGATTTGTACTGATCAGTCTTGTTGTAATTCTAGTTGATACTGTATCTAGAGGCATATTAAGTAAATGAGGTAGTTGTGTTTACATTAAAGAACTGGTAAATGCATTAGTTTACGTTATCGGGAACTCTTATCGTTACATTTTGTACTTTCGGCGTAAAAGTAGGTAAATGCGCTTAACAAGTAAATGATAAAATGTTGCCAGCCGTGAATAAGGTGGATGTATTCAAATGAAGGAGTTATGACTGCTGCGGGCTCCCCTGCTGACTCCCCTGGGAGCTGCCTGAACTCTTCGATTGCGGATCATCCTTTTTCTCAACCTAGAAATCGGTGATTATGATTTAAGACGTATAACAATTGAACAATATTTTGTATCCATATCAATAACATTTTTGAATTAGTTTTTCATTATTTTATAAATAATTGCACATTAATAATACTCGTATTCGTTATTCAAAGTTACAGTTATGAGTTTAGAAACGTTTTTAATCTACTTAATCCTTGTTAGTCAACTCTAAGCTATTTTTGTTTCATAAAGTTGGGGGACTCACACACTGTGAAGAACCGATTTTTACGATTCTTATTTCCTTAAGGCAATAGAAATTGTAAAAAGTCTCCGTGAAAGCCTTTTTACTTTTAATTAAATGTAATAATTTTATGTAAGAATTAAATAGTAAGTCAATAATACCTTCACTGGGCAGTCGGCAATGAGGTGATCTTCGCTCTTGCAGTTGTGACATCTCTTTGGTTGCGGTCCGATGCTGCACTTGGCGGCTATGTGGTTGGCGAACTCACCACAATTGTAGCAGCTGGAATGAGAAATACAATTACAATATTATTTGTCATTTACAACACGTTTTTCCTCACTAATTTTATATTTTTGAAATACACTGTCGTTTATATTAAAGGGGAGGAGGGCCTGTGGTAGAAAAATGATCAGAGGAACATCTTTACTGACGTACCTTATAAAGTGAGGTAGTGCATCGCTATGCATTTCATGGAGAGGACATTACTACGAGTGTTTTTAAGTTACGTATCAACTTAGTTTAATAAATGTTTTGTATCTGGAGTTACCAACTTGGAATTTAGAGAACAAGTGAGTGTCAATATAAAGATGTGTTTCAAAATATATGGTACTGTCTTGTGAGTGAGATGTTATGGCGAAGGTGCATGCCCAGAGCAGGCCATGAGCTGTTATAAAGCCTAATTTTATGTGAAATAGAATTAATACAAACTGTATCTGTCAACTATTGGTACCACTAAAACTTCTGAAAAGGCTCTATAATGACCTGACGTTAAACTTTTTATAAATAGTTGGCAATCACCATCTACTAACCCTTAGCACGCAGAAGCTATGTACAGCTATAACAGTAGCTAAGCCTTGTCGCTCATCAAGGAAACTCCCCGGATCTTCCTGAAGCGCTTCTTGGAAAGCGGACATCGATGTGAGCTCTGGCAATCGACGGCGGAGGGCCCGGACACGCGAGTCGCCTCCAGCCTCTTGTCGGACTCCTTGCATACACCACCTCCTCTTCGTCACCCATCAAGAGAACTCACCGGATCTTCCTGAAGCGCTTCTTGGAGAACGGGCGACGATGCGAGCCCTGGCAGTCGACGGCGGAGGGCCCGGACACGCGCGTCGCCTCCAGCCCCTTGTCGGACTCCTTGCACTCCACCTCTTCTTCGTCACCAATAATTTGATAAATAATTTCACATTATTAATAATACTCGTATTCGTTAATCAAAGTTACAGTTATGAGTTTAGAAACGTCTTTAATCTACTTAATCCTTGTTAGTCAAACTCTAAGCTATTTTTGTTTCATAAAGTTGGGGGACTCAGACACTGTGAAGAACCGATTTTTACGATTCTTATTTCCTTATGGCAATAGAAATTGTAAAAATTCTCCTTAAAATCCTTTTTACTGATTCCTATTGTAATAATTTTATGTAAGAATTAAATATTAAGTCAATAATACCTTCACTGGGCAGTCGGCAATGAGGTGATCTTCGCTCTTGCAGTTGTGACATCTCTTTGGTTGCGGCCCGATGCTGCACTTGGCGGCTATGTGGTTGGCGAACTCACCACAATTGTAGCAGCTGGAATGAGAAATAAAATAATAATATTATTTTCATGTCATTTACAACACGTTTTACCTCGATAATTTAATATTTTCGGGTTACACTGTTGTTCATATTAAATTGGGGAGGAGGACCTGTGGTAGTAAAAATATCAGAAAACACTACTACGAGTATTTTGTTACTTTTACGTATCAACTCAAATGTGGTACTACTGTCTTGTGAGTGACATGTTATGGCGAAGGTGCATGCCTAGAGCAGTCCATGAGCTTTTATTAAGCCTAATTTTATGTGAAATAGAATCAAACTGTATCTGTCAACTATTGGTACCACTGAAACTTCTGAAAAGGCTCTATAGAATGTCAAAGAGTCAGTAACTTCACCTGACGTTAAACTTTTTATAAATATTTGGCACTCATAATCTACTAACCCTCGCACTTGTCGCCCATGAAGGATATCACCGGATTTTCCTGAAGCGCTTCTTGGAGAGTGGGCGGCGATGCGAGCTCTGGCAGTCGACGGCGGAGGGCCCGGACACGCGCGTCGCCTCCAGCCCCTTGTTAAACTCCTTGCACTCGAACTCCAGCTCCTCTTCGGCATCAAGAAAACTTACCGGATCTTTCTGAAGCGCTTCTCCAGCCCCTTGTCGGACTCTTTGCCCTCTCCACCTCCTTTTGTCGCCCATCAAGAGAACTCACCGGATCTTCCTGAAGCGCTTCTTGGAGAGCGGGCTACAATGCGAGCCCTGGCAGTCGACGGCGGAGGGCCCAGACACGCGCGTCACCTCCAGCCTCTTGTCCAACTCCTTGCACTTGACCTGCTCTTCGTCGCTCATCAAAGGAACTCACCGAATCTTCCTGAAGCGCTTCTTGGAGAGTGGGCGGCGATGCGAGCCCTGGCAGTCGACGGCGGAGGGCCCGGACACGCGCGTCGCCTCCAGCCCCTTGTCGGACTCCTTGCACTCGAACTCCACCTCCTCTTCGTCGCCCAGCGATCGGAAGCCGTGCATTTGGATGACGCTCTGAAGAAAGAAAGTTGAGTAAGCACTGGTAAGATTAGATGTTTGAAAAAAATGCATTACATTTACACCATGGGCTCGCAAATGGAGGAAGGAATAGTTTAACCACCTAAAAAGTAATGTTATCAAATTAGATTAATAAAATACAAGACTAGCTCCTTAGCATTCTTTCGATCCCATCACGTTACAAATTCTTTTACGTCTCTTGTAGAAAGGGAACTTGATAGCAGATCAGTATGTATTATAGGACTTTTAAATCTAGTGATATACCCATTCCCCACTCCTTAAAACTTGACCATCAATTGAATATAATGACCAAAGTAATTCAAATTGATTTATATTCGTCCAGATAATACCAGATAATACTTTTGGAAATGTAACAGCGCTTAGGTCAGAAAGCTAGAAGTGGTAATCGTGAAAGTTTTTCTGGTTTTTTCAGTTAATCCTGTTTGTGCCAGTCAATACTACTTCAAAGCACCTACTCATCGAACTAGTTAAGTATTTTTAACTTTTCATTATAAAACGGGATACTTGACTATTGAACACGTAAGTAAAATCTTATCCACGCATTTGATTACCCGCATGAGGGACTAGAGGCACGTGTACTAACTATTAATCATAGGATGCACATATTGCACTGTTATGGGAATAGTCAGATAACACAAACGTCACAAATAAATGAATCCAGTTATTATTAACCCTTTGGTGGAGATGTTAGATTAGATTTATACAGTACTAGCTTCTGTCCTTGGCTTCGTCCGCATGGAATTCGATATTCGGATTAAAATATTATGCATCTTAGTAGTTTTAATAAAGGTTTTTTTTAATAATCCTCTATTAAGGATACGTTTTCAAATATTAGCGTCATGTTTAAGAATGATGAAATGAAAGTGATTAGAAGTCCAATAGATAAAAATCTAGTATTTGTTTCTATTCTTGTTCCACAAAAATACTCAAAAAAAATTCAGCCTTTGCCGAAGTTAATTAGTTATGTAGTACCTACCTATTTGATAATAGAAATACAATATTACACAATGGTTTCGGTTTTTTATCTACATATTTAGATGTCTTGTACGTATCAAATATGTACTTGGGAAACCCATTAACGGTAAAGGAGAAACAATATGTAGTGATAGACACGCTCGAACACCCTAGATATCATGCACCAAAAACATAACCCTCCTTCGAGCAGGCAGCGTAATAGATAAAGTGAAATGAACTTTAAAATCCAATTGAAATATGTATTGAATTACAAACGTGTGTGGAAAGTTGAAATGTTATCAATGTGTATGCAACAAAACCATTAACCAACGTATCGTTTACGAGAAAAAATGACATTATCAAACTTCCGACAATATAGTCTTGACCCAATATTAAATTTTACTGCTAACGTCTCGCTGTAGCGTACGAAGTACAAGTTTGGTGGCGTAAATGTATGGAAAAAACATCCGGCCTTGATAAGCCGAGCAAACAAATAAGCGCTCTATCGGGTCAACCGCTAGATACGACTACATATTTTGTCAATGATTTTACTTTTTCTTCTGCTACACCAAACTTTGGACACCTAGTAATAGATTGTTTCCTTAAATAGCAATTCATAATTTTAATCCCATTTAAAATTTGTGTTAACAGTGGTTAGATTCCTTTGTGAGTATGAATAAATAAAACGTAAACACATGTTTGATGATGAAGTAATCTAATCTATTCTAAATTGGATATTTTAAGACGTTACAAACACGCTCGTAGCAAGTAGCCGAGTACGTCGCAGGACCTATCGCAACACAACGGCGCAATTCCGTCGTCCGAGTAGATACCCGAATAAATAAAGCATTAGCCAATAAGTACGCAATACTCGACACTACTTCAATTATAAAAAACACGCGCTCAAACAAAGGCACACAATTGATAGGCCCTTAAAGAACCGGATGTCGAGGAACGAACTTTATACGTTATCAGGAACATCTTACCCAATTATAGGGTGGAACTTACATTTAAAATTCAACGCATTTAACTTCATTTTAAGCAATTATGCTAATAAGTGTTCATCAACAGGTGTTCAAATTGTGTCATCCATAATAAAAAGTTTTCCTACGCTTACAAAGTTATGTTAGATACGTTTTAACAATAACTGGTCTGAATTGAAACGGTAGTTATAAACAAACAACGCATCCAGTTTGAGTCAAAAACTAACAAGGGTTTTTCAAATTGACTTAATTAAAAAATTAAAATAGAATCGTTTAAGAAAATTGATTTCTAGAAAGCAATATACTCGCTAGGTCTATTATTTATAATATTACGATCACTCAAATATTTCTACTAATGTCAAATTAGTAACCTTTTTAAATCTGCCGAAGACAAGATGAGGCTATAAAACTATGCATTTCTTTATTGCATTATGAATATTGTGAACAGCCCCCCGCGGCACGATGCGTTGTGAAGAATGTGGTTACGACCATCGTAAAATGTCACCTGCGCTCCAAATGAATTCCATAGAAAAGCATCTTATTGACTACCTCATGTCGACCCAGCGGTAAGGTTTAATAGTGAAACAATTATCACCGAGCTTATGAACTTACAGTAGTAAAAGTTTTATGATTTAGTAATAAGATTTAACGATTTCCCGTTGTTATTGTTTATCGCTGTAAAACTTTAGTAATCGATTAGGTTTTAATTACGGGTAATGTTAAAGATATTAAGACATGGAAGAGTATTAAACAAGCGCAAACAAGAGAAATTTACGTGCATTTATTTTTGTTAATTAGGTTTTCCTAACAGTAATCCACGAATACAGATAGATATCTTGGAAAAATCTTATATTCGTTAGGTAAAAGAAGCTCTACAAATACATATATGTAGAGTCTAAACAATTTCCAAGATTAAAGCAAATTGCTTGATACTAGTTGACTGAGTTTCTTGCACTGCCTCTTCTAAGCACTGGCACATTATTACTGTCCCGAATTGTAGAGATAAGTAATACAAATGAAAAAATTGGAACAGGTAAAAAAACTAAAACATACCTACTTAAAATAAGCGATTTTTTGTGTCTTTTTACCTGATGAACGAAGACGTCTTGGCCGCCATCGTCAGGGGTGATGAACCCCCAGCCCTTGGCCACGTTGAACCACTTGCAGCGGCCGCGCCGGGTCACCCCTATCACGCCGGCCGCGCCGCTCGCGCCCCCTGCACCTGCAATGCAATTACAATTACTTACAAATCTTGTCTTTTAAATAAAGTAAACCATTTTTACAAAGGTAAACATCGAGTTTCATTCTTCAATATAAAGTAAAAGTAATAACTTATTCGATTAGCTATGTCCACGACTTCGTATGCGTGAAAATCATTTGAATATTTTTCCCGTTTTCGCAACATTTTTCATTGCTGCTCTGCTCATGTCGGTTAGCGTGATGGTACCTTCCTCGATATGAGCTATCCAATACAAAAATATTTTTTTCAAATCAGACCAGTTCCCGAAGTGAGCACGTTCATCAAACATACTCTTCAGCTTTATAATATTAGTAGAGATTTAAACTTCTAAACTAAAAATAATAGTCAATGTAACTGTAGAATAAGATAGTAGGTAACTGTTACATTTATACGATATGTGGATAGGTACCTATTCGATAAAACCACTTTATCTTTAATTACATCATAGTCTTGTTCTATTACGACTATTTACGACTGTTGAACCAAACGAATTCGATACTCAGTACATGTATTGGATACATACGCGTGTCTAGTTACATCAGCTAATAGTTTTTGATAACCATACAAATTACGGTGCATAACACTTTTAAATCCAATAAAAATCTACATTGTGATTGTGTATGTACATTCCAACAGATCCCAATGACTTTTCCCAGCTCACTAACTCAAGTTAGTGTTGTTAGTAATAATATTTTACGAAAACTGCGCGTCTTTGATAGAGATTTGGTAATCATACATTACAATTTTATAGAATGGAGTTCGGTTTACTTTGATTGCATTAAGTGGGTTGTCCCCTCGTAAATGCATGCATAGACATTTGCCGTTCGGAAATCTATTAGCAATAAATAAGGGCCCACGATCGCTTACTGGACTAAGAAAGGGTATACCATTCCCCTTATCGGCTGCTTCACAAAAAAGAACGTGGGAACTGAATCGAAAAATACACTCCTCTTTTTATATGTCACTATAGCTATTAACCTCAAAGACGTACTTAAGCATATTAAGTTTCATTATAAATCACGGCATCGGTTATATTCTGTGAATAACTTAATATTTATAATCTTATTAGTCAACTTTTAGTGTTCTATCAAAGTTTGGTAATGACTAATGAAGAGAACGCTTCCGCTGAACGTGTGACTGTGTATTGAACAATTCGGATGTAAAAGGTCACGATGACTAAGTGATACGGTAAAACAATACTACCGAGAATTCCATTCATATCTTTATTTTGCATTTGATTTGAATCATTATGTCTTGAGCAGATAACCGATATACCTTACCTACTTGCTTTCAGATTAATCGTGTGACGACATACTCTGATAAAAATACGCTTATATTTTTCAAACTATAGTAGGTATATCAAGCATTCTTGTAATTAATTATGTCGTTATCTTTACAGTGATATTAAACCTAACCAAGTTAATTTAAAATGTATTAAAATAACTTCAAACTCACAAAATACTTAAATATTAACCGTACCTATCAACCTCAATACTGGGTTGTTAAGGATGTCTTATGCTGTAGAGGAAGCTGAAATTTTGCTGCTCCTGAGTCATATTATCATAAATTATGCATCATTTTAATTACACCTAGCTTCTAGCTCGTCCTCCGGCATGCTGCGAACGCTACAACAACCTCAAGTCTTCGCTAATTCGATATGCATTTCCATGTGCTGGTATGAAAGCTAAGCAAATTATTTCTGGCTACGCGGCGGAGGTAAAAGCGAGCGCACACACGTGGCTGCGGGGGGAGGCGAGGAATGCGAGGTATTTGGGTTGCGTGGCTTGCGTTTCTGGTACCTTTTCATTCATTGCTCTAGCACTGCACCTAAGGCCGCCGCGAAGGCAGCGAACTCACGATTAAATGCACCATCGATTCAAATTCCAAGCAAAATCGATGTTCACTCTGGAATCCAGTCGGAGCCGCCACTGAAAGCTTTTAGAAAGCTGACAATAAGTACTTGTTTACAGTTCTTATGTCGTAATGAATGTTGTTGTTTTGACATTCGCTACGTGAGAACATGCACGCGCCTGCAAGTACGAGCTACCTTTTCTAGGGTAACTTGGATGTTTTTTATTTGGTTTTTATTGTTATAGTGTTTTCAATGGGAATGAAAAATGGTTGCGGATAGAGTTTTGTTAATGAATTAACGTGTACAGATTCTTACGGGTTATTCTTTTCTTCACATAATCTTCTTTGTTTCTTAAAGCTATCACGTGAGAGAACCATTAATGATAGATAATGAGGTACATATTTCCGATTGTATTTAATGAAACTTTTTTTCAGCGCCTAATTACGAGTAGATAAAATCGTTTCGTAAGAGATTCTTATCCAACCCGATTTCATTAATGAACACTTCTTGTAGACTATCTCAGGACACCCATGAACTTATCTATGAAGGGTCTTATCAAAATGCTTATGGTGATGCCTTGAATTTAAAGAACGAAGTTATATCGTATTTGTAGTTAACATTCCTTTGCTACGACATTTTACTTTCATAACTTAAAATTCAACGTGAAAGTTTAAAATTATGTTTCAACTACACTCCAAATGCGAGGGAAACATAGGAACTGCATCCACTAAAACGTAAATAGACGTCACTAAGAATTAAGGGGATTGAGAAATATGACATCCAGCCCGCTTGAATAGAGTGGCGCTTATTAATATAATGTGGTAGCAGCGTACAATCGGCAGCGCAAGCGCAGCGAAGGCGTGTATCTGTTTTGTAGTTCTGTTTATTCAGCATGGCGCCCGCCCGCGCCCCGCCGGCCGCCGCCGCCCGCGCCGACATACTCACACGCCGGAATTTCAATGCAACCAAAATTCTTGCGCATGCGTAACATTTCGTTGCATTCCGTTCAGAGCGAGCCTTCAAATATTTGATAGTAAAACATAACCCTCCCACTCCCAGCACGCTTCGCAGACAAACACTGCGCCGCTAAGATCCCATTGAATTATTTCAATTGCAACTCATTGCCGAACTTTATGATATCCAATTCGAATAAACAGCCAATTCCATACTAAAATAAACACTTAAATACGTGCGTTTCCGGAAAAATGTTAACAGGACGACATCGCCCAAATTACCGGGCGGGAGACAGCAATCGTGACATTTCATGTTTATTGTTAGTTCCTACGGCGATTATGCTATTTTAGAACTTGAGTTAAATTAAGCTCGTGTTATTTTAAAAGCAGGAAGGGGAAATTCTACGCATATTTTAAGTAGGGCATTTTAAGCTTACGCGCACACAGCTTACGACTCTTATCTTGAGAAATAGCTAGGAAACTTTTATTATTGTTTTGTTAACAAAAACTGTTTAATACAACTACTGCTGATAATAATTTAAGGCAGTTAGTTGTTTAAAGAGTGCAATGTTTTGAGCTTATAATACAGCGTGATATGCTGTAGCTCTTTGTTTCAGGAACTTTAAATGAGCTTTGACATATAATTGTCCGTCTTTTTCATTGATTAAGGGCTGATTTTTCAATAGTCAGATATCTTTTAACTGAAGAATAAGCTTGTCATTTTGACATATTTCCCATACTGAAACTGTCAATGTGCCAAACTTATTCCTTTATTAAAAGTTATCCGACGATTGAAAAATCGGCCCTAAGTCAACTTTAAAACATTTTCTGAAAATGAATTACCCTAAAGGAAATGTAGAGTTGGATAAATTGTACAGCTTTACAGTTTTTTACGGATTTGGTCGCCCAAGCTTTTAGCAGCTTTCGTTTTAGTTTCGTGTCTTCATCGTGGCCTTCTATACAAGTTTTTTTCAGCACATATTATTATGATGTCACAAGATGATATAATTTAACTAGTACCTAAATGTCAAATCTCGGCGATGTCTTTGATTTTTTTATTCATTTAACCTACACATTGTCATTATTTGTCGTATATAATGAAATAGGTAAGTTTTGTAATTAAAAACAGCCACATTAAGCTATTATTACTTATCTATGTTACTATTATCTAAGTAGGGGAAGGGGGGGCATAGTGGAGTACTTAACTTCAATCGAAAAAATAAAAAGAACCAGATAAGTTACGAAGACAAGTTTTAATCGAAATGATACTACAAGTATTATATTATAGATAACTCTAAAAAAAATTTACGAATTATTAACTATTTTGGCATAAAAGAAGTTTTTTTTATAGTCTATAATTTTCCGCTTTGCCCTTATCACAAGGGTAAAGTGGAATTGAATTTTGGGCAAAGTGAAAAAGGCACTTATTAAGCGTTTATCTACTGTATTTGAGCATTTTGCTAATGAGGTCAATTAAATGAAATAACATAAACAACTTATTTAGTAATTAGGAACTGTTTTAGGCCATAAAAACCTTGTCCCTTACTACTGCAAGATCATATATTTTTTGCTTGCCAGATTTTTTTAAATACTGGACGAAACCTATCAATCTTCTTCGATGCATCACCAGATTTCAAATTATAATGAAGAGTTCCAATTAGGATACCATATTTTTTGATGCCGAACTAATCGTAGTAAGACTCGCTTCCTCCATCGCGTCGCTCTTCTCATTTGATCTTCTCTCCATGAGCCTTGGTTCGTTTTACTTTTGTAATAATTATGAACCATCTGAAAAAACAAATTAAATATTTATATGTATGTGGGAATCATTCCACTTTGCCCCCTTGTAATTTTTTCCACTTTGCCTTTTTGATAATAATTACAGTTTTCAATTGATAACTAAGAAAGTATTAAAATTTGTTCAATCTACAAAATGTCAAAGGAATCTATGATAAACAGATATTAGATTTAAATAATAAAAATACCATCACTACTCACTTTTCACAATAATATCCAGTCTCCAAAATCCTTGAATTTCGTAAGAAACTCACACGATCTACATCGCGCAGTCATGTAGCCAGCTCGGTGGCGCTAGCCGGACTGATTTTGGTCAATGACCTTGGTCGGCCCTGTGCTTGGCTTACGTGAAGCACGAGTGCCGTTGGGTGAAAGAGTGTTGGTAAAATCAAATTTTTCGCTTTGCCCACCCCTTCCACTATGCCCCCCTCTCCCCTATACGTATAACATAGATATGAAAAGCGTATGAAGTGCCAATTATTTTCGATTATTTGATTGCTTAATTTAAATTTAATAACTGAGTGAACTCGTGATAACATAATACGAGTACCTTCATAAGATTCTAATGTCATGTCAGATAAATAACTTTAATTAAAACAATATAGTTTATCTATTACCTACCTACCTATATTTTAGGCTCTTAACTTTTTAGTTCTAAAAGCGCTTAGAGACAAAAAATTTGTTTACCTCGGAAATCTTATAAGATTTGAACACACCGTTTTTCGTGAATTAAATTAAACTTTTAACATTATAAAATCTTTCAAAATACATAACCCTGTTGGTTAAAGACATTTTTTTTCTCTTTTGGCACCAAAACCATTGATGAATATTTCTTATTTTTATATGAATGAATTAACTACTATAATTCGTTATTTTTACGCGTTATTCTTAACAGCACGTGATTTGATTTCGGTGTAAATTTATTTTCGCGACCAATACTTACTTACTAAGTCGTTAAGTTAAAAAAATAATTATTAATGAATATTAAAATCTTTTATTAATGATTTTCTTAACTATTATCGATTTTTATTTCGGTAATTTTTAAGAAATAATTCATGATAATTTTTTGAATAAACTAAACTTAGTACATTACTTACTTAAAAGCTTTTCATAAATAAAGGCGTGTATTTATTGAGAACTTTATTATTATTTACATAGAAACCCAAATTGCAAATAATCATCGTGAGAAACAATTTGTATGAAGATAAAAGCTGGACTAACACAATAATACTATTAGGGACATTAGGCGTAGAGCACACGTGTTCATTTACGTCGGAAGCTCATTGACATCATGATATTAATGACTCAACCAAACAATTTTGAATGAAAAAATATACCTACGATATTACACCATGGGATAGGAAAACCAAAAAAATAATAAGATTTTAATTTTACATTCATAAAATTGTGTAAAAAAAATACAATCCTGAAAACGTTAAACCGATTAGTCGTGACATATTCAGAGAATATCAACATGGCATCGTGTGACGGCGACAAAAATGTAGGATTACATTGGGCCTAGTATTCCCGTTCCATAAGGTCATTGACATGCAACGTGCTGTACAAAATGTGGAGGTTTCCAGCAACACTTCGTTACATCATCAAGGCACACTCTTTGATGCCTAAACATTATAATTAGGTGATTTTAATGAAAATATATTCCTTTTTTGCGTGAATGAAATAAAATCTTTGCCAAAATAGCCAAATATTTAAATTGTCATTCATTCACAAATTCTTAGATAGTTACCTACTTGATTTGGTATACAAAACACATATCTGCATTGATTGTGTGATGCATGACCAGCAAGTAAATGAAATGACCTAAAACATTCTGCCATTCACTAGTTCGGCTGTTATCAATCGTCGGTATGGAATTTGAACGTGAATCATCGTCAAGTGGCGCTTTTGCTTTGGGATCTAAAGCTAGGAGGGAAAGAGACAGCCGAATGTACCACCATTCAGATTTAATTGACTGGTTACGAACTCGGACCCTGCCGTAGGGACGTAACGTTACTTAACATCGACTTTCTAAACATTCCAAATAGTTCCTCTTGGAATGACGCGCTCATAGCAAATATTTTCGTTTCAAATAACTATTAATTTGAGACTGATTAGTTGTTAATTAAAATGACTTAAACTTGTCGACTTTGCGCCTAAAATACGTTATAGTTTTGATACTGTGTGCGCAGTTGTGTAACAGTGTAAACAGAATTGTCTAATCAGCATAAAAATATCGACAGTGCGTTCGTCACTAGAGCTTCGGCATGCCGATGACAAAAACACGTAGTGGAGGAATGGTGGGGATCGGGAGCGAAGATTAAGGTCCTTCTAAAATGCAGTCGGCCTACCTAAGCACACACAAGTGTTTTTCACTAGAGCCAAACGGCAGCGGTCGCATTTGAGACCTTATTCTAATCGTTATAGAGTGCTCGTCGGCACAGAACGGTGCACGCAATCGCTCGCACGCGAGTAAAACAGAGTCGTAGGCATAGTAAACAATTGCCGCTTCGATGCGTAGACCTTGTTAGATAAATACTCATGCAACTACTTTATCATTCTATTATTTATAATATTCCAATTCGTTCAATAAAATACAAATTGATGTTGCGATCAAAGTCAGTTTAACTAATAGATGTTTACCAATATTTGGAAATAAAATTATGTATGCTTTGTTATTGGTATAATAGTGCTACGTCATTCGTTTGGTGTTCACAGATCAAAGCGAATAACAAATGCGCAAATAACGACTTAACAAGAATAGAGTTAAAGCTTCCAAAACATTCATAATTTTATTAATGTATGTTGTTGTTGATCAACACCACCAGTAAACATGGTACACATGTGTGACAGCGGATCGGGATCGGGCCACTATTAACCTCGATTCAAATATTTCCATTGATGTAAAAAACAACTGTTTGGGACTCGCTTCCCGAGCCCTGCATACATCACATCCGTTCGATAAGGACTCAAGTTCCAATACAGTCGACCACTTAAGCGTATGCACGCACCCTTACCACGTGTCAATCTAAACTACAAATACAAACCAGGTAACTGAAAGCACAAACAAATTGCTGTGAGAAATTTAAAATCTTGAGTGAGTTTATACTTACTCGAAGAGGGAACTGCATTTCCGCCTTCCCTCCCGCTCATGGTATGTAAGTAACTAAAAAATAACTGGCACCACAAATATCACCTCTTCGTAATATCCATCATTCACATGAATAAAAGGCACTTTAATTAGGTTATTCTCATTTAAATTTACAGTTTGCGCGCTTTCTTAATGTTATCAACTATCAAAATGTAGGTGCATGAGACCGAACGCGCGTGCGCGCGAAGCGACCTACGACGCGTACGCAGCTCGACTGCATCGAAAACTAGTGACAGTGGCTCAGAGCAGCGGAGTGGCGCGGCGATGCGGTCGGTCCCTTCCCGGATATCGCTAAGCAAGTAATTTTTTAAATAGAGAATCTAACGGAACGTGTGCACTGCCCGAAAGCGCCGGCCGCTTTACCCCAAGTCCCCGACACGAAATGTGTCACTTGACGGTGCGCCGCGTCTCGAGCTACGCTTCCACCAGAAGGCAGAAAGGGCACGCTGCAGGGTGAACGGCACCACCCAGCGCCACCGGCCGCGCCGCCGACACAAACACTCCACAAAAAACATTTCTCAATACAGAACCGAAGCCGTAAAGGGATCTATTGGGGATATCCAAGTTTTGATGCCTCTTTTGTTTTTAAAAGCGCGTCTTCAGCGCGATCGCCGTAGTTTTGTTTGATTTTATTAACACTTTTATCTGTTTTTATTATAAACACTGAATTCTTGAATCTGACTTAATTTAATGGTTTTGATTGTTTTAACTGAGTTATTTTTTTAAAAGGTAGAGCGGTATAGCATACACATACAGCACCAAGATCAGGAAATGTCCTGGTGGGGATGATAACGAATCAATATTCTGCAATAAAGTTTAAATTAGGTGGCATTTTTTACTTATTTTTATGTAGAGTCAATTTTAAACGTATTATCTTATTCTTTTATTCAGCTTGTCAGTTGTTCAGGTGATCGATGAGTTTTTAAATCACCATTATGTGTCACTAGCCTTACTATCCTGCATTGAAGCATCCCGATCAAGCTCCTCCGGCCTCAAGGCTCAAGTTTCCGGAATGCGGAGTTGGCATCTACTAACTTTGTCTTTAGCTCGGCATCCGCGAAATAAGGATCATTAGTAAATTCTTGCGCTTAAATATTGTTAAGATTCACTATCGTATTATTAAAGGTTCTCAGTTTATTCCAAAATCCTGAAGGATGGGAATATAATAGCCAAAACAGGAAGATAAAACTTTTGGTCAATATTAAAACGGAAGAGAAGTCAAGAGGGATACATCCATTTTGCACGTGCATAATTCAACTTAATTAATTACTATCTTCTCAACTGCTTAGTAAGTTTTCTACGATTTTATGTCTCTATTTATAATGTTAGATAATGCATCAGTTTTCAATTTACATTTCAGAACACCTGATATTTAAACGTAAAGATAGATCGTAATCTCTGTGCTGTTCTATTTATTGTACGAAGGTAATTCGATACTACTTTCTAACACCCATTACATTCATATTTGTTATCAACGGAAAAATCGCAAAAGCTTATCTTTTAACCAGGATTGTCACCTTCAAAGGGCAAGTGTCCTTTCTAAATAAATATCAGTCGTATAATCACAAACTCACAAAAGGTAAGCTAATTGTTCAAAAATTGCCATACAAACCCCTCGCATTTATAATGTTTGCTATTTATAAAGCTTTATTGTTATTAGTGTGACAATTTCACGTCGACTTTTTCCACGTTTCGATGTTTTCAGTACCCGTGTAGCAAGGAGCAGCCCCTTCGCGGAGATGTCAAAATGTGACGGACCTAACCGGACCCATTGTCACTATTCTAATCCACATATGATTATGCATCGACAATAGAAGACCCACAATAGAGACAAGTTTTGAAAATAATGAAACTCAACCGATTGTCGTGTACTTTCACTGATCTCTCACCCCACGGCTTACTAACTAGACACGACGTAAGCTGAATTATTTTCTATGATGCACTATGTTAATTTTGATGTCCACTCGCTAATCACGGCCTTTGTCATTCAGATTTTCTTCCCCAATCTCGAGGAGACAGCGAACAATCAAAAATAATTTGGTGCGAATCTTAAAACCGCTGCTAACAAGATTAAATTAATATTTCAAATGAAATCTACTGTTAACGGTCCACTTAATTTGTAATATCTTAAGAGATCAATACCTACTATTTAGGTCCACTTCCGTATCCTCTATTTTTAAACTACAACATTATAATGAACAAATGCGCATGGTATTACTTTGCAAAAGAAAGAAATATTATTTGGATCACTGAAAGTTTAAAATTGCTTTGCAAACGATTGCTAATTCTAAAAGTGTGGAATAAGCAAAAAAAAAAATAAGAGATAATAAATCATTATTTTAGACGTAATTTGATTCTTTTTAATTTTATTATACATATTTTCAAATACTTCAACAAACTCTCAAATGCATTATACGTACATTATTAGTAAGTATAGCATATTTTGTAATTTAATTTGTAAATAAATAATGAATCTGTTATAAAAAGCTGTACAGTTGTCAAATTCCTAGAAACTAGAATTACATAAGTATTTGCAGAAGTTATTAGTTAGTAAATTGTTTTATTAAGTGATTTAGATCGTTTCGTCACAAACAAAATCTCTCTCTCATTAAAAACTTATAACCAAGAATATTATACTCAACAAAATATTACATTCCAGCATTGTTTAAAAATGACTCTACATAATTTAGCTAACTTTACAAGTTTTACAACAGCGCCATCTATAATGGCTTCAAAACTCTACATGTTTTTATAAAAGCTCTCGATCATATTAGTCGAGGTTCCGCATCCTCCGAAGCTTCAAAGTTAAAGTACAGTATTCAAACTATAGATGGCGGCATTCTCGTAGCACAACACTGCCATCTAGTTAGAGCTTAATAGCAACTTTTAAGTTCAACTTTGAGGCGCCCCTAAGCTTTGCCACGAAGGGCCTCGATTCGGGTACCTATTGTTATGTTTATGTTTGGTAGAGGCGTTTCCCTCGAAGGGTGGTGCTTGCGTTAGCCCTATTCTACAATAGGTATTTATATTGAAGAAAATTACGATGAACAAGATACAACGAATGTTTTTTTAATCAACCAAAAAATAATGACAATAATAATATTAATTAAACGAGTTTTAAATAATAATATTAATTAATTTTCAAGTTATTTATAATTTTCAAATTAGTTTGAGATGCGACTCTTAACGTTAAAAATTTAAAAAAAAACTATGATTTAATTATATTATCGCTGTCAAATTTCAATTTCGAAATTTGAATTTAGAACAAAAATCTAATAAGATATCCTAAAAAGTCATAAAAGAACAGATTTGTCAATCAATAATAAATATTGATTTTACTTTTTTAGTTTGTGCGTGTAACGTTCGCTTAAAAAAGCGAGGCTCCATTATTAATTTTACTTTTATTTTACGAGTATACTAAGACTTAAATGTTCTGTAAATGTTTATATTATAGTCCAAAATCATGCTAAAATTGTATTAAGGCTCGGAGGTTTGTGAGTGTTTTTGTAGGAATTAGTAACATGCAGATGAAACGACTTCAATAAATTATTCGAATTTACTTTTTAATCGACACTATAAAATAAGTTGTGAACTAACTAAACCTTTAAAACGGTATAGCCACATACCTACCGATTATTTGCGATAATAAACCTATAACATGATATTAAGAGAAGGGAAAAGCGCCGGAAAACATGAGTTTTTCCTCATAGTGACGAAAACGGTAAAATAATTAGCGGAAATAGACACCTACGCACTAGATTGAAATAAACATAAGGTCACGTTCCTGTTTCCAAGATCACACGCCCATAGAACATGATGGGTGACTCAACGAGTGAATAACTTCATTAGGATCTTACTCATTTTGGANATTTGAATTTAGAACAAAATTCTAATAAGATATCCTAAAAAGTCATAAAAGAACAGATTTATCAATAAATAAATATCGATTTTACTTTTTTTAGTTTGTGCATGTAAGCGAGGCTCTATTATTAATTTTACGTTTATTTTACGAGTATACTTAATTTTTTTGTAAATGTTTATATTATAGTCCAAAATCATGCTAAAATTAAATTCAGGTTCGAAGGTTTTTTTGTGTTTTTGTAGGAATTAGTATCTAACATCTGCAACTTCTGAAACGATTTCAATAAATTATTCGAATTTACTTTTTAATCGAATCTCTATAAATGTGAACTAACTAAACCTTTAAAATGGTATAGCCACATACCTACCGATAATTTGTGATAATAAACCTGTAACATGATATTAAGAGAAGGGAAAAGCGCCGGAAAGCATGAGTTTTTCCTCATCTTTCCTCAGTGACGAAAACGGTAAAATAATTAGCGGAAATAGACACCTACGCTCTAGATTGAAATAAATATAAGGTCACGTTCTTGTTTCCAAGATCACACGCCCATAGAACACGATGGGTGACTCAACGAGCGAATAACTTCATTAGGATCTTACTCATTTTGGTTAAATAAATTGAATCTAGTCTGAAAATGTATTTTGTAGAGACGTACTCGTATCACCAAACCACACAATTAGTAAAATGCGTAGGTTTTCAAATAAATTAATTATGAATGTACCACTTCATAATTTTTGTTAAGGCAAAACAAAATAAAGCACCGAATATTGAAATTGGACCATGTTACCATAAATAAAAAAGGTGACCATAGCAACTAAGTTTTTCAGACTATCACGTCATGTGTGACGACACGGGATTTCGTCGTTCATTTGTTTCAGCCAAATGACAAGTGACGAGTATTTGAGTCTCTCTAACTCACTTGAATTCAATACTTATTGAACCCGGTCGTGTGTAAACGCAATCCGCGAGAGCCATAAAGAAGAAAAAAACTCAAGTACATATACCTAGTATAGAAAATTTTATAAAAGTAACCTAATAGCTGATTAATCAATGCCGAGGCTAGTAAAACATGAGAAATAAAAACCATACATCCAAAACGATCATATCATTAACTTACAAATCTTTGCTGTGCTGTATATGGGTGGCCCGCCATTGACGACGGTGCCATTGGGGATAAGCACCGGTGTTGGTGGTTTGCTAGCGTCGCCTTGCCCGTGGCCGTTCGCCCACGCCGCCGCCGCTGCCGCTGCGGCCGCCGCCGCGGCGCACACGCTGCACTCTGAAACAATACAATGTGACATTTGAAAACGTCATGAAGAAACAAAACAATCGATTTTCCTTTTTTAAAGAATCTAAAAATGGTATTTGGTTGGCTATTTAATTTTAGACCAGCGATTTTTTTTTCGGATTCGTAGCAGCTACGAAAGTCTGGTGCATACATTACCTATGCTAGTGGAAATTAATTGAAACGCGATGCTTTATGGATTTTCTTATGTTACCTATAATCCCTAAAGTATCGCGTGCAGATTCAATTGTATTGTGTAGCCTAATAAATTAAAAGAGATCATTACATAGGTATGAACTAGGAGAACGATATTAGCCATAAAGTTAAGACCTTTATTTTAGTACTTCTATTGTTGTAATAGGACATCAATATTTGTATGTTGTAAGGAATAAATTCATGCTACAATCTATAAATTGTGTATGCCTCGATCCGCTACCCTTGTTGTCACAAAATCTTTTTTCTTTCTAATATTTATGATACCATGTTAAATTAAAATTAGGTAGATGAGTTGACCTAACTTTAATGTGATCGAACATTCTTCGCTTTAATCGAGGGAAAATATTTACGATTTTTCATAAAAAAAACTGAGCAATTTTTTATTGAGGGTTTTTTTTTATCCACAACGAGGAAGCTCTTGGCCTGTATCTCACCTGATCGTAAGTGACGATCAGGCCGAAGGTGGAAGCGAGCTTCACCCACGGAATCCTCAACCACGGAGGAACTGGCTATCTTACCTCTAACTGCCGGAATACAACAATGCATTGTTGTTATGGCGACAGACTTAGGTAAGATGGTGGTAGCTAGCCAGGCGGACTTAGAACAAGCCCTACCACCAACCAAACCGAACAGAAAAATCTGCCCCCACTGGGAATCGAACCCGGGACCTCTGCGTCTTGTAATTGTTGATCTTCCGCAATATGAGATAATTATAAAATAAGATATTTTCTATTTGACTAACTAATGAACTACCTGTTCAAGTTCAGTGTGAGCTCTATCTACGGTATCACTTGTAAATTAGATAAATCGGTTTTATCGCCAAAGTCTACTTGTGGATGGTGAATAGTGATGATTGTGTCGGGCCCTAATTAGGAAGTAAAGTAGTCTATTCCACTTATACTAACTAAATTATTTCCTTGGACTTTTTTATTTATTCCCGAATCTGTAAGTAAATAGATACTAAATGATCAAGTTTTATTGTTAGAGGCTGGTGATACCTACTTGGTAAACGGTGTTTTACTAATAAAAATCAGTGTTGGAGGTCCAAGACTGATTTTTATTAATAAAACACCGTTTATGTAAGTACTAGCGGCCGCCTGTGACTTCGTACGCGTGGATCCCGTTTTACCCCCTTCATCTATCTTACGCGGTTTAGATTTTTCATACAAAAAGATTTTCTCGCTAATTCCCGTTCCCGTGGGAATTCCTAAGTATACTATAACCTGCCCAGGAGTATGAAGAATAATTGTACCAAGTTTCGATAAATCCGTCGAGTAGATTTTGTTTCTATAAGGAACATACAGACAGACAGACAGACAGACACAGACAAAAATTTTACTGATTGCATTTTTGGCATCAGTATCGACCACTAATCACCCCCTGATAGTTATTTTGAAAATATATTTCATAAAGATACAAAAGGAATTAAAAGCGTAATGCCGTTGCATATCTGATGAGGTATGCATACAGGGTGGAAACGATAAGTGATCTCACTCGATTATTTCTAAACTGTACAAGATATCTAATAAGTAAAATTTTATAAAAAAAAATAAAACCGACTCCAAAAAACCTAATACTAAAAAGTAGAAAAATAATTACTAATTACCTACTTATTTATTAGGACGAATTATTAATATTTATGTAGGTAGGTATACCATGATTGATACTTCTGGAGTCGGTGCCAAGATTATGAAACATGTAAAGTTTGCCTGCACCGACTCCAAAAGTATCAATCATGGTATACCTACCTACATAAATATTAATAATTCGTCCTAATAAATAAGTAGGTAATTAGTAATTATTTTGATGAAATAAAGGTTAAAGATTTGATGAAAAATCACTTCTTAAAATTTAATTACGTATTATTTTCATATACCGTCGTTTGTAGGTCTATAATCTTCTATTTATTCCTAGTTATCTTCCGTCGCTATAAATGTTTAATCTTCGATTATCCGAGGAGGAGATCCTTAATAAAATGTTTACGACCTTTGGACATTGAGAATTTTAAACGTCATATTAAACGAAATAAAAATATCTAGTAAAGTATAATAAGTGTCTTAGGTCTACTTAATTTTATATCTATATTTTACTCAAGAAAATACCTTTCATTACAGATCCTGTTGATTAATAAAACTAAAGCGTTTAACGGCAATACTATTGTACATTATTTGCGACATAATCCGCTGTTACATGGGATTATGTGGTAGAGAATTAGCGATCGAGCAACGTGTTTAGATACTCCGATAAAGGCTTATTGTCGACACAATTAAAGCTGTATTAGTATCTAACTATCGCAAGTATATCATGGGAAATATACTCGTTTGATTCCTTGTCATAATCTTATATATATAAAAATGAAACCCGTTTCGCGTTGTCACGGCATCACGTGTGAACGGCTGAACCGATTTCGATAATTCTTTTTTTTAAATGTTTGTGGAAGTCCAAGGATGGTTCTTACGGAAAAAAATATTAAGAAAATCTCTACGCTAAGGCGGTACGAAGTTCGCCGGGTCAGCTAGTTTTGAATAAAGTTTAGTTTAGTTGTAACTTAGTTCTTATTAGCCTTGAATTTCGATACCTTATTATAATATCTGCATGAACTTTACAACACGACAACTTACTAATCATAGTTTACCTTCATTGATCCACCTCGTGATACTAAAGCCCGTTTTCACTATCATCCCTGATTATTAAGTGACCTCTGTGGTAACACATAACAGGAATTTTGTTTTCATAGGGGTCACTTAAAAATTATGGAGTGATGGTGAAAACGGGCATAACTCAAATTGAGCGGATTTATTGCACCAATGTGCCATGGGGCCGTCAATTTCATGGTTTTTTTTTTATCACAAATAAACAACGTTATTGCAAAAGTGAAACCACGATGACCGCTTATCGTACGTGGAGAGCCCGGGACAGAAGCCCTAATTATGTACAGGTATTTAGGCGATCCTTTAGGGCTGCCGCCACTATATACTTTCTAGAACTGAAATTTTAAACCTCGATAAACGGTACTTCTCTAACCTTAGATAGAAGTACCACTAACTCTTAAACGCTCAGTTCTTTTTTATTAAACTTTGCCGACTGCAGAACTCGTAAGTAAAGTTAGTTCTTAAGTTTGTTAAGATATGGATACCGTAAGATTAGCTGAAGACTGATTTAATGTTTTTCTTCTCGATTGATGTTATAAATTCATGCTGATCGGTTATTTTCCACATCGTCTCACATTATATTAAATAATGCTTTTCTTTTGCATAATTATCTTTCAATTTTTTAAACTGATTCATTAATTCGATGTTGAAAACGAAATGATAGACACGTTATTTTTAATGACGATGAAATAACGTTTTGACGTGATAGTAAATGTGCAGTTAACTCACTTGTTATCTAAATACGTCATATAAAACGTGTAATTACTTTTCCCGCTTTGCACGCATAGTTCTGTCACTAATATTATACTAACTAAAAGTTTTAGTTTTAAATTTCTGTAATGAAAAGCTCATGAATATTCAATTATAGGTAGGTAAGTGGGTTTCACAATGATTCTAGAAATGTATTTTGTAGACATGAATACACAAAATACAGTTTTTTTTATTGAATTTTTTTTTTTTTTTTATACACAACGAGGAAGCTCTTGGCCTGTATCTCACCTGATGGTAAGTGACGATCAGGCCGAAGGTGGAAGCGAGCTTCACCCGGAATCCTCAACCACGGAGGAACTGGCTATCTTACCTCTAACTGCCGGAACACAACAATGCTGTTAACACTGTTGTTATGGCGACAGACTTAGGTAAGATGGTGGTAGCTAGCCAGGCGGACTTAGAACAAGCCCTACCACCAACCAAACCGAACAGAAAAATCTGCCCCCACTGGAAATCGAACCCGGGACCTCTGCGTCTGAAGCAGGTGGTCTTACCACTAGACCACAGAGGCGGGTAAAAATACGTATAGAAAAACAACAAATAAACCAAAATATGTATTTTGTTATAGTTGAAGGTCATAGAGGGTCGTGCACCTGTCTGTAGTGACTAAATGACCCGCTGAAGATGAATAGATATTTAAATGTCAGGTGCGTTGTAGTTGATTGTCACGTCGTTTACGGTATATCAAGATAAATACTGTGGCATCGGCATCTTAACGAAGTTGTAATAGTGAATTTAGAGGTGGTTACTGTATAATAGGTGACCTTATATCATCAGCAATATATTAGTGTCGATGTAACGGCAGCCCTGCGGTGGCGGAAGTCCACATCCGCTGCGGTGGACGCCTACCGCGTGCGATGCCTCGCTCTGCCAATTAATACGTCGACGTGCACAAACAATGGAAAATCAATCGACTACTCCAGACCGGCTGGCGGCGCTGACACACAGATGTCAGATGTCTGATTGCCAAGAGTAGAAAAAGCTCAGGCATACTAAGAAATCACTATCCAGTAAAAAATGTACTTGTGGACTAATGTGATGACGAAAATAAAGATAGTCAAGAGCAGAATGGTGGTCTTTGAACAGCTCAGGCTTGGAGATGGACTTGGACTGGACATACTATGTGGACTGTCCAGTAATAAATAGTCTTGTGGAGAATATGTATATCACATTGTTTGCAGCAGTTCGCCCTCGCTACGGCAGGAAGGAAACTATCATGCAGGATGAAATAGCCAAGCTGAGGTGAGAACAGTCGTTAGCTAGGATTTGAATGCTATATCTATAATTTGACTGACTCACTCATCACACAAAATTACAGAAACTTTAAAGGCTTCCACAGATCAAACGCAGG